ATATATTATAGTAGAGTATATAAAAGTCTCTATGGACTAGAGTTTAGAGCCTGGTCAGAATAAAATTTAGTTTCTCCGAACTGAAGCTTTTCAAAGCTCTATCTGCAGCAGGTAAGATATTAATTGTTCATTTTTCCACAGAACCCATATTTCAAAGGTTTTGTTCAGTCTCTGTATTAGATGCCTCAGTAAAAACAGCTCTACTTTAGTAAACTCAAAGAATCTTTGTGTTTGACAGTCAGCAGAAGCAGCAACAAGGCAACCTGCTGGCAAAGGAGACTGACAGACTCATGAAGTCGTTCGCTGCTCTTCCCGTCGGACACGATCAGGTACCAGATCACTTCAAGGCTCTGCTCCGATCGGTAAATTATCACACTTAATGCCAGTTCTTCGTTTCTCTGATAACATTTCTTCCCGTTGTGGTGTTAGCGACAGAGAAAGCTACAGAGAGAGCGTCTGCTGAACGACTTTTCAGCCGCTCTGAACAGCTTCCAGGCGACGCAGCGGCAGGCAGCCGACAGAGAGAGAGAATATGTGGCTCGGGTCCGAGCCAGCTCCAGGGTATCCACGGTGAGTGTTTTTTTTTTTAATTTAATTTTTTTGGATGACAAGTTGCATCATTATTATCATTTGACAAATATCGAGCCTTTTAGGACTTAAGGAGGTCACATAAACGTGTCTCTTTTTTGTTCCATCTCACTTGGCAACCTTCTCAGCTTACCTCACCAAACAAAAAAAATTGTATTTAATAAGGTGCTGCATGTTTATTTGCTCTCTGGGCTGGCTAAATTACTGGTAGAGTTCAAAAAAACAAATCTCTTTTTAAAATGTGAGACAGAAAACTTTTAACTTGAGCTCTTCTCTAACAGGGGGGTCAGTCTGAAGATACTTTTGGAATTGCACCTCCGAGGTAAATCCATCCTTCTTGTTTTTTTTTCCTTCCTCTCATTAATATAGTGAAAGTTTTAAATGCACGTTTTCCTGCAGTTACGCCCAGGTGCAGGCCGAGGCCGAGGTTTTCACTGACGAGGACCTGAAGCAGATCCAGGAGAGGGAGTCTGCCATCAGGCAGCTGGAGGTATCAAACACAATTAAAATATCCACAGGCTTTATTTGAAGAGAACCCCTCAGCTCTGTGCGAAACATCTAACATGAACCGGATGTCTTTCTGCTTCTTGTGTAGTCTGATATCACGGACATTAATGACATCTTTAAGGACCTGGGCGTGATGGTCCACGAGCAGGGAGACATGATAGGTGAGCCTCAGTCAGCTTTTGCATCTTTTCTTTTCTTTCGTCATTGTTTTTCACAGCTAAAGCAAWAGGACGGAAAGTCAAAGACATTTAATTTCCTGTTCTAAAACAATATCTTCACATTCAGTACAATATAAAATACCAGTGAGTAAAAGTTGTGTRTTTAAAGGAAGTTATTTTGTTTCAATCCCCCGTCCTACACTGCAAAAAATGTCCATCTTACCAAGTTTTAAAACTTTATATCCAGACACAAAGTCTTTTTGATCNACCCATTACACACGATCAGCTGGGGTTTGAGACTGCAGGAAAGAGACACTGAAGTGGATGATATAAGATATTTTTTTAAAGGAAAGCTTGTGTTGGAGCTGTTTTGTTTCTCAGCTTACCTAAACTGCAGCAGAACATTGCTGCGTTGTCAATAAACAGGTAACTAAGTTAAAGCAAATGCAGGTGGTTCATTTCCATAAATTATGAGCTTCAGTTGGTGTTTAGAAGTTGACTTCCTGAGCTGCTCGATGGGTTCCTTTTAGAATCTGATTTTATATCAAATCTGTTCAGATCTCAGCAGTAATTTGTGTTTATTTGTTGTCCTGCAGACAGTATAGAAGCTAACGTGGAGAGTGCAGACTCCTGCGTTCAGAGTGCTCAACAGCAGCTGAGTCAAGCTGCAGGCTACCAGGTAAAATTAGGATTTTAGTTTAATCCTGACTGGTTCTATTATGGTCTGCCTTATATCACTGATTTCTTAAAGGGAACCCTGACTAGTTGTAATATTAGACATTGATAAACATTTACTTCAACTGTAAAACAAAGACTGCAAAAATACTGTAGGCTGTTTTTGTTTTTATCAAAACAAGATAATATATTTTCACACGGATGGTGACGCTTTATTAACGCCGCAAAGCATACTGGGTAAATGATGGCGTTTATTAGATGTTCCAGTCCGAAGCTGCAAGCTCCTATCCACTCTGAAGGTTAATCTTATATCTTTGACAATCAGCCCTTTTAAATGAAACCGGAGCGCGTTGTCAGAGAGAAGTTATAAATGACTGTAACTGAAAATGCAGATGGAGGACAACAGAGCTGCTTCAGATTCAGATTCTCTTTATCGTCGTTCAAACATAACATCAGGGATGCACTGTAGAACAAAATTACGATGCAGATTAGCGCACGACTTAAACTGCTTGATAAACTATAAAGTAAAGTTCGAAAAGCTAAATCAAACAAAGCATGTTTGGCATATAAAAACAAATCAGAAAAAATATGGTAATAAAACTAAAATAAAGTAGAAAAAGAGTGAGGTAGAATCCAGATAAATTCGAGGTTGAGGTGGTATAAATAAAAAAATATATAGTAAGGTGCATACATTTGCATTTGTGCAATGTATGTGTGCAGAAACAACGAACAGGTAGATGAGCTACAGTTATATTGTTGGTTTTGAAGTTTTTCCAGAGTCAGGAAGTGTTTGGTTAGCAGTAGAGATGCACCGATATGAAAATTTCAGCCGAAATCGATATCCGATATTATTATTGGTGTTATGGCCGATAACTGATATTTACCGATATTACATAAACACACAAATTATATTATACATATACGCACAAACACTCTTGTGTCTTTTTTCGATACCATAAATAAATGACCAGACCTCTGACATGGCTGTACTTCAGTTATTCCTGGCTACGCAGCGTTACTATCACTATTATGATCAAACAGATACAACTCAACCAACCGTTTTGCCTCCCAAAACAGAAAAACAAACCTAAAAAATGGAAAATCAATATCGGATGTTAATATCGGCCCCGTTTTACATACTGGGCTGATTCTGATGTTCTAAAAAATTACCAATATCAGCCGATACCGGTGTCAATGCCGATATATCATGCATCCCTAGTCAGCAGCTGTGCAATGAAAATAATTCTGAGCAGGTAGATAAGATTGTAATTCAGACTTGGGTATTATGCAGTGTTCATACGTCTGATGGCCGTGGGGAAGAGTCTGCCACAGAACCTTACTGTTCTGCAGGACAGACGGTGGTATCTTCTGCCTGAGGGTAGGAGAGAGAACATGCTGTAACCGGGGTGAGTGGGGTGTTTGGTGATTCTGGTTGTTCTCGACAGAAGCGTTGTTTGGCCAWTTCCCCAATAGGTGTCAGCGTATAGCAGTGGTTCCCAAACGTTTGGTCTTCTGACCCACAAAATATCCATGGCAAAAACTTGTGACCCCAAATATTACTGTTCTGAGTACATGAACTTCGTTAATAACCCTAAAAACACAGGCTTTTTGACAATATAAACCATGTATACACAAATATAAATACCTATTTAAACTTATTTTGTGTTTTTTTAATATTATAGGGAAAATATTACATCAGCAATTATTTTATTACCCTTTAAATTGATTTCTGGAGATTATYCAAGGTGCTTCATGACCCATAATTGGGTCCCAAGCTCAACTTTGGGAACCAAAGTCGTATAGGACATTTAAAAGGGTTGATCATCAGATATTGTCTAAGATTAACCTTCAGGGTAGATAAAGCTCGTATGCAGCCCACCATTTACTCTGTATGCTTTGCGGCAAAAATAATATGGTGCTGTCCGTATGACAGTATATGTGACCCATCATAACAAAATGAGGATTAAATCAAATTTGTACAAAATGATCTAACTACATTTTCAGATTCCTGGCTTTAAAACAGCGGTGCCCAAACATTTTCCCTGAGAGGGCCAAGATTAAAAACATTTTCCCTGAAAGGGAACCCGAAATTAAAATCAATCTGAGGATGGTGGGCCAAATGCTATAATATAATACACGAAATGCAAATGCTTCAAGTAAAGTTGTATTTTATATGATTAAGCTAGCAGCCAGTGCAGTTGCCCACATTTCCTTGTTTKTTTGTTTGTTTTTTTCAGCCCATGGACATGGAAAAAAAAATCAACGTATGCTGGGGCAGCAAAGGCTCATAGGACTTTTCATAATTTAAAATTTGAGTATATGTGGTCTTATAAGGTGTGCAAATCTAGAT